AAGAACCACTGGTATGACAACAGAAGGTCCACACTGAGTTTACATACAAACACATATAGACCACCCATACACAAAAAGAAATGTATGCACGCATGACTGTAAGTCGCTTTGGATAAAAGCGTCTGCTAAATGGCATATTATTATTATTATTATTACAGTGCATTCGGAAAGTATTCAGACCCCTTGACTTTTTCCACATTTTGTTACGTTACAGCCTTATTCTAAAATGGATTAAATACAAATATTTCCTCCTCAATCTGCACAAAATACTCCATAATGGCAAAGCAAAAACTATTTGATAAAAGATAGGGGCCTCCCGAGTGGCACAGCGGTCTAAGGCATTGCATCACAGTGCTAGAGATGTCACTACAGACAGGGGATCGATCCCAGGCTGTGTTGCAGCCGGCTGCAACCGGGAGACCCATGACGCCGTGCACAATTGGCCCAGCGTCGTCCGGGTTAGGTTTGGCCGGCCAGGATGTCCTTGTCCCATCGCGCTCTAGTGACATCCTTGTGGCGGGCCGGGCGCATGCACGCTGACTTCGGTCACCAGTTGTGAGGCTGGCTTCCGGTATAAGTGAGGAGTCTGTCAAGAAGCAGTGCGGCTTGGCAGGGTCGTGTTTCGGAGGAGGCATGGCTCTCGACCTTCGCCTCTCCCAAGTTTTTATGAGAGTTGGGACAAGACTGTAACTACCAATTGGGGAGAAAAAGGGATTCATAATGAGAAAAAAATATATAATAGTAATTTAAAAGAATAATACTTTGTTGAAGCACCTTTGGCAGTGATTACAGCCTCTAGTCTTCTTGGGTATGACACTACAAGTTTGGCACACCTGTATTTGAGGAGTTTCTCCCATTCCTCTGCAGATCCTCTCAAGCTCTGTCAGGTTGAATGGGGAGCGTTGCGGCACAGCTATTTTCAGGTCTCTCCAGAGATGTTAGATCGGGTTCAAGTCAGGGCTCTGGCTGGGCCACTCAAGGACATTCAGAGACTTGTCCCGAAGCCACACCAGCGTTGTCTTGGCTGTGTGCTTAGGGTCGTTGTCCTGTTGGAAGGTGAACCTTCGCCCCAGTCTGAGGTCCTGAGTGCTCTGGAGCAGGTTTTCATCAAGGATCTCTCTGTACTTTGCTCCGTTCATCTTTGCCTCGATCCTGTCTAGTCTCCCAGTCCCTGCTGCTGAAAAACATCCCCACAGCATGATGCAGCCACCACCATGCTTCACCGTAGGGATGGTGCCAGGTTTTCTCCAGACGTGACGCTTGGCATTCAAGCCAAAGAGTTCAATCTTGGTTTCATCAGACCAGAGAATCTTGTTTCTCATGGTCTGAGAGTCCTTTAGGTGCCTTTTGGCAAACTCCAAGCGGGCTGTCATGTGCCTTTTACTCAGGATTGGCTTCAGTCTGGCCACTCTACCAGAAAGGCCTGATTGTTGGAGTGCTGCAGTGATGGCTGTCCTTCTGGAAGGTTCTCCCATCTCCACAGAGGAACTCTGGAGCTCTATCAGAGTGACCATCGGGTTCTTGGTCACTTCCCTGACCAAGGCCCTTCTCCCCCGATTGCTAAGTTTGGCTGGGAAGCCAGCTCTAGGAAAATACTTGGTGGTTCCAAACTTCTTCCATTTAAGAATGATGGAGGCCACTGTGTTCTTGGGGACCTTCAATGCTGCAGAAATGTTTTGGTACCCTTCCCCAGATATGTGCCTCAACACAATCCTGTCTCAGAGCTCTACGGACAATTCCTTCGACCTCATGGCTTGGTTTTTGCTCTGACATGCACTGTCAACAGTGGGACCTTATATAGACAGGTGTGTGCGTTTCCAAATCATGTCCAATCAATTGAATTTACCATAGGTGGACTCCAGTCAAGTTGTAGAAACATCTGAAGGATGATCAATGGAAACAGGATGCACCTGAGCTCTATTTCGAGTCTCATAGCAAAGGGTCTGAATACTTATGAAAATAAGGTATTTCTGTTTTCTTTTCTTTTTATACATTTGCACAAATTTCTAAAAACCTGTTTTCGATTTGTGATTTAGGTGGTATTGTGTGCAGATTGCTGATAATATATATTTTTTAAAATCAATTTTAGAATAAGGCCGTAACGTAACAAAATGTGAAAAAATTCAAGGGGTCTGAATACTTTCCGAAGGCACTGTTATGATGTCTGACTTATAGATATTCCAGATGGCATCGAACATGTTTTCTCCTTTCACAATACTTCATAGGTCTACTAAATCGGACAGTTGCACACCATCAGACAACAACAGTCAAATCTGAAAATAGAAAGGGTGTTTCATCTTGCACTGTAAATCTTTTTTGTTGTCATTGTGACCGACACTTTGATTCAGGAATCCTATCTGAGAAGGCCTAGTTATACAGTATATCACAAAGGTAGATATAACAGCTAAGTGTAAGTACTGCCTCGTCTCTACCATACTGCTTATCCCCATTATCAAAGGCTCGACACAATGGAATGGCTCCTCCTGAGAGAAACAAAAACAACAGCTTTGTGTCAAACTACCAGTGCAGCTCCCAGGAACCATTGTAACCATTATAATTAAACCACTGGCCCAACGCCTACCTCCGTTTCACCCATACTGTCACCAGACTCTGCGTGCACACCAACTGCCGTCCAAACAGAACAACTCTCAAGATATCATTACAGCTTCAAAACAGACTATAACCAGATGTATTTGTCGACCCATTATCTCCACTGTGGTGACATGAAGGAAGACTTTCTCTTCTTGCAATTCTACTGCAATTCAACTCCATTTATAATAGACTCAGCACCAAAAACACTGATATGACTACCAACTGTTCAGTTGTAATAGGGATCTATTGATGGATTGTCATAGATAATATTGGAGAGTTCTTAGGAGATTACATTTTTTTCTTTAGGAGAACCAAAGAGAGGTATTCCTATAAGCTACACAATTGTCAATGATTATCCACCACAACTCAGCACATTCTCAAAACAGAGTGGGTTTGTTGGGGGTAAATAACACAATGTTCCTTCACACACACATTTACGTAGTGTTCTAACCTTTGACCTCACACGGAGTGTCACCAGTATTAATTTTAGACTCAATGGGAGATAGGATTAATTCAATCTCTCACACACTCCACACAGGGTGAAAGATAGCATATCTCTCTGTAAACGCATAGAAACACTGATACACGGCATGTTTTTGTTAAGATTTCACATTTATTTAGATCTCTGTTGCTTTATAAACAGTCCTTGACACTATCAGACAGCAAGTGAAAAACTTTCATTCTGTACCATTTAGGGTGTTTTCAGGACAGTTTGTGATAGATACAGACCAACATGTACACAAAATTACCCTGATAGAGATCACATGAAAAAACAACAACATTGTTATACAAAATATACATGTAATTTCTCATACATTTGTTTGTAGGGTTGATCGGTGGCTGTGCATTTTATAGTTGATGCCCCAAATAAAGGGATACACACAGAGAGCATACAGACAGGCTTCTGAAAAATAAGAAGCAAATACAATTGGTTTCTTTGGCGATTCACCCTGTCATCATAAGGTTGCTGGAGAGGAGAATGAGTGCCAGTGAACTCAATATTTGGGTTTATAGTACTGTAATTACAAAAATATAGTGATCAACGGTGGGGTGAAAACCTTGCGATGCTCATGGAAGGGTGAAAATCTAAAGTTTTAAATGACAAAGAGAGACATCAGACCCTGTGCAGTCTAAAGACCATTGCATGGCATCATTGGCACAACTCCAACAAAGTATTTGGGTTAAGTATGATAAGTGCAATTTACAGTGGCACCACTCAATGACACTATGTTCCTCAATCTAATCTCCTCACTCCGACAGAGTGAGACAACGCTCTCAACAGTTTATCCACCCATCAGTTGAGTTGAGTGGCTATTGGATGGAAACCTCAGAGTTCTCCAGTTAAAGTAGGTTGAGTGGAGATCAATGGGGGTGTGTATTGTTGAGAGCGCTCTTAAAGGTCTGACCATGAATGTGTATTGATGAGGAGCTATTTTCCGTCTGGGGAGCCCCTCACTGTGTGGTCTGCTAACAGTGGCATTAGCTGTATCAACAGGCACTGCAGCAGCAGACAGACAGACACAACCTGGGCTAGGTACCTCAGTCGGTCATGTGGTTAAACACACACACATAAACACACACACACAAACACACACACACACACCAGGCCTAACCCTCCATCCCCTGGCTTAATGGCCATGAGAGAGTGACCACCACCAGAGGACCATGGGGCCAGGTCATGCTGCTGACAGTGACAACTAAGGGCCAGGTGGAATCTGTAGAAAAGTCTCTTATCAATACCTCTAAAGTCTTGTCAGTAATTGTAATCAATGTGATTGTAGATATGAATGTATTGTAGCTGTATTTATATCGTAGCGGTATTTGGTTTGAGTTTAATTCCATGTTAATCTCTCAGTTTGTTTCCGTCTAGCTCTACCAATGAGATCTATTGGCTGTTTGATTACAGATTGATGTGGATAACATTAAAGACATGAACATGTATAAGGTCGGGAGGAATACATACTGTATGCAGCACATCATGATATAGTATTTTTTATTTATTTTTAGTGGCGTATTTGGCCAATTCATGTGAGGGAGTATAAGAGTACATGAAGATCCCAGTCTTTTTCCCTCTCCACCCATCAGTTCATATAGAAGTCATTATTGCTCAGAGTTCAACTCGCTCTTTGCTCCATTATATTGTCAATCATGTTGATGGGTTTACTCCTTGATCTTCTCTGATAGCACTCTGCTCAGAGGTTAGAGTTCAGACGAGCTCAAGCAGACAGGGAGTGGTTGGAGCATGGCCTGTCAGTCTCTTTGCAATCAACCAATCAGTGGATCTCCTCCAACTTGAGTCACTCTCATTCCCCAGTCCATCCCCTCACTCCACTAAGCCGTAGGTCCTTGGTCATTCATTTTGAATAGGATTGCAAAATTCCCTGAACTTTCAATAAATTCCCTGGTTTTCCAGAAATCCTGGTTGGAAGATTCCGGATTTCCTGCTTATACCCTTCTGATTTCGTGGAATCCTCCAACTGGGATTTTGGGAAAACCAGGGAATTTATTGAAAGTTCCCGGTATTTTGCAACCCTAATTTTGACCAACGTGGGGGTCATCTGAGCGGAGCTAAGACAGAAGTCCTTCAATGCATATGAAAAACATAGGCTCATCTGAACACGTTTCCAGTCCCAGTTTCATAGTCATAGTCAATATCCCTCTCCTCTTCTCTCTCTACTGGATACAGACGTACTTCTTCCACCACGACTTGGACAGTGTCTTCATCTTATCGGCCGTGCTGCGCACCTTCCTCTCCCGCCGCGCCCTCCTATCGGCGTGCTTCATCCCCACGGCGATGGCCGCGTCAAACACCTCCTTCAGGTTCTTCTGGGTGAGCGCCGAGCACTCCACGTACGCCACGGCGCCCACTTTGTCTGCCAGGGCGCGGGCGTCCACCTCGGCCACGGGCCTCTCCCTCCGGCGGGCCAGCTCGATCAGCACCTTGACGTCCTCGCGCAGGTCACACTGGGTTCCCACCAGCAGCATGGGCGCGAGTGGGCAGCGGCGGCGGATCTCGGGGACCCACTTCTCCCAGACGTTCTGGAAGGAGGCAGGGCTGACCACACTGAAGCAGAGGAGGAGGGCATCGGTGCGCGAGTAGCAGAAGTGACGGAGCTTATCGAATTCATCCTGAGGAGAGAGAGAGAGAGAAGGGACATGGGGGGGTTAGTGAGAGGTTGGCATTCAGCAGTAACAACACAGGGACAGTCTCATTATATGTGAACCCAAACAAATGGTGAACTGTGTATCTTGAAAAACATTGACAAACACAAGTGTAGAAGGGGAAAAAAGCGTATGGGAGAAGTTGTTTAGGCAACAATATTTCCCAAAAACTGTCTGTTTATAGAAGACTGAAGAAGACAGATGGAGAGTGGATAGATCAGCAGTGAGCATAAGTTCAATTCTAAAATATTCTATAAAAACTCAATTTCTGCTGGATACTGGAATTAATCGTCTTTAGGTTTTGCAGATCCAAGCACGGATGATGTTATATAAAATCCATCAAGGTATTACAAACATTTTCCAAAGCACCTAACCTTTGTGATGTATTTCACTTCAAGGTTCACACACAAACAAACCAGTTTCACACCAACACATTTCAGTAATCGTTTTATAGGTCAATGCAAAACAAGCAGGAAGAATGTCAGTGGAAAATAAATGGTGGTGATAATCTTTCCATAACAAACTGTGTGAGAGAAGTCTGTTTATGTTGAGCAGTAACCTCCTCTTTTATATCATACTGATCTCCCAAATTAACACCGTGGAGCCACAGAGCTTTGGGTAACAAGGGCCTCCCACATCCTTGAGTACACAGATTAAGGCTGGCAGAAACTTGACACAAACCCCTCTCTCTTTAACCCTTTTCAGAAGTCTGACAGGGAAAGGTACTTTTTTATATTCAGGAGCCTCTGAGTGGAATAGTCTTTTCACACACCTTTCCTTTCCAAATCATACTTTCGCCTTAAGTGTTTGCAAACTGAGATAATGGTGCAGAAATATCGGCTAACATACAAAATGGATCAATCTTGCTGAACGGGGAGTGACTTTATTTAATTAACAGGGTAATACTCAGGAAACCAGTTTTTAAATGTCTGTATCAAATTGAGTTACAAAACCATGATGCATCTGCAAAAATCAACTATCATTCTGCAAAAATCAACTAACATTCTGAGGACTAAGATCTTTAGTTTTGGGGAAAGTGTCTTATTTTAAATACATTTTAAATGTTCGGGTCATTTTATTTAAAACATTATTTAGAAAAACCTAACTTATTTGAATAAAACAAAATATGTTGCTGTAGTTTATTCATAAATCATAAAAATTGTATACTAGTTGAAGTTTACATTAAACTATAATATGTATTACGTACGAACACAGTGTCTGTGGACATGTGTCTCATTACCGTAACACTTTGTCAAGTTCCTGTAAAAACTAAATCAAGTTTAATTCACCCATGATGGATCATCTAGAGGAGTAGTCCTTAGATGAGCACGAGTTAAGTTAATGTATTCGCTTATATGCCTTCAGAAAAGGTTCTTATTCTCAAACACCCCCTTTACCCCACTTGGCCTTCTCATTACCGAAACGGTTAAAGAGCTCAAATTGGGAAAAAGTCCGATTTAATTTAATAACAATTGAATAATTTCATTAGACATATTTTTATTTTCAGTGTTTTGTTTAACTCTGGTATTTTCATTAGGGGAGCAATCTAAAAAAAATATATAAAAAATATATATTTTTTTATTACTTTTTTGGACTTCGAAAACTGTTACGGTAATGAGAATTTTGTGAAAATATTGTTAAAATGCATATCTGATTAAAAAACATAATAATAATTATGAAATAGATAAGTACAGATCCTAATCTCAGTGATTGAAAAGCACATTTTGAGAAAAATGACACTTGAGATTATAATTTTTTGACAGTTTTGTGAGAATGACCCAACATTGCAGCATTTGATATCGTTTATCTCAGGCTTTCTCAGGGTGCGGTATATGTTCTCCTGCTATGAAAGTGCATATATGTATAGTAAGTGTTTGTTGACTTTATCTGCCTGTGTTTGCCCCAGCTCTCTGTGGCTGTGAGAGTGGGGGATTTAGAAGTTGTGTACAAAGTGGACAAATCCATGCAGCCCTAAGACAACTGTGTGGAGTTCACTACAATGCATTTACGCTGGGAAGTGTTTGGCCCTTGTGTTCATTCCAATGGTTGTGAACTCCACACTCAACCAAACACAGTCAAGTCTTCTTAGGCAAAACAACTTGGATGTTGTGATTGTGTTTACAGTACTAGCAGTGCCCTGCAGTGCTAGTGAACTTCACTTTATATATATATATATATACAGTGAGGGAAAAAAGTATTTGATCCCCTGCGGATTTTGTACGTTTGCCCACTGACAAAGAAATGATCAGTCTATAATTTTAAGGGTAGGTTTATTTGAACAGTGAGAGACAGAATAACAAAAAAATCCAGAAAAACGCATGTCAAAAATGTTATAATTTGATTTGCATTTTAATGAGGGAAATAAGTATTTGACCCCCTCTCAATCAGAAAGATTTCTGGCTCCCAGGTGTCTTTTATACAGGTAACGTGCTGAGATTAGGAGCACACTCTTAAAGGGAGTGCTCCTAATCTCAGCTTGTTACCTGTATAAAATACACCTGTCCACAGAAGCAATCAATCAAGCAGATTCCAAACTCTACACCATGGCCAAGACCAAAGAGCTCTCCAAGGATGTCAGGGACAAGATTGTAGACCTACACAAGGCTGGAATGGGCTACAAGACCATCGCCAAGCAGCTTGGTGAGAAGGTGACAACAGTTGCGATTATTCGCAAATGGAAGAAACACAAAATAACTGTCAATCTCCCTCGGCCTGGGGCTCCATGCAAGAACTCACCTCGTGGAGTTGCAATGATCATGAGAACGGTGAGGAATCAGCCCAGAACTACACGGGAGGATCTTGTCAATGATCTCAAGGCAGCTGGGACCATAGTCAACGAGAAAACAATTGGTAACACATTACGCCGTGAAGGACTGAAATCCTGCAGCGCCCGCAAGGTCCCCCTGCTCAAGAAAGCACATATACAGGCCCGTCTGAAGTTTGCCAATGAACATCTGAATGATTTGGAGGAGAACTGGGTGAAAGTGTTGTGGTCAGATGAGACCAAAATGGAGCTCTTTGGCATTAATTCAACTCGCCATGTTTGGAGGAGGAGGAATGCTGCCTATGACCCCAAGAACACCATCCCCACCGTCAAACATGGAGGTGGAAACATTATGCTTTAGGGGTGTTTTTCTGCTAAGGGGACAGGACAACTTCACCGCATCAAAGGGACGATGGACGGGGCCATGTACCGTCAAATCTTGGGTGAGAACCTCCTTCCCTCAGCCAGGGCATTGAAAATGGGTCGTGGATGGGTATTCCAGCATGACAATGACCCAAAACACACGGCCAAGGCAACAAAGGAGTGGCTCAAGAAGAAGCACATTAAGGTCCTGGAGTGGCCTAGCCAGTCTCCAGACCTTAATCCCATAGAAAATCTGTGGAGGGAGCTGAAGGTTCGAGTTGCCAAACGTCAGGCTCGAAACCTTAATGACTTGGAGAAGATCTGCAAAGAGGAGCGGGACAAAATCCCTTCTGAGATGTGTGCAAACCTGGTGGCCAACTACAAGAAACGTCTGACCTCTGTCATTGCCAACAAGGGTTTTGCCACCAAGTACTAAGTCATGTTTTGCAGAGGGGTCAAATACTTATTTCCCTCATTCAAATGCAAATCAATTTATAACATTTTTGACATGCGTTTTTCTGGATTTTTTTGTTGTTATTCTGTCTCTCACTGTTCAAATAAACCTACCATTAAAATTATAGACTGATCATGTCTTTTTCAGTGGGCAAATGTCTAAAATCAGTAGGGGATCAAATACTTTTTTCCCTCACTGTATATATATATATATAGGGAAGGGCACTCACTCACTGCACTGACTCAGATGACTGATGATTGGCTAAAATAAATGGCTAATAAGATGATAGTTCGAGCTGTATTGTTAGATTTCAGTGCAGCCTTTGGTGTTATTGATCATAATTTGTTATTGAAAAAACTCACTTGTTATGGCTTTACATCACCTGCCATCACATGGTTGGAGAGTTATTTATCCAATAGAACTCAGAGAGTAATCTTCAATGGAAGCTTCTCTAACATCAGATATGTACAGTGCGGTATCCCTCAGGGCAGTTGCCTTGGGACATTACTCTTCTCTATTTCTACAAATGATTTGCCACTTGTCTTACAAGAAGGTAAAATGACTATGTATGCTGATGATTGCACACTCTACACATCACCACCCACAGCCAGTGAGCTCACTGAGACTCTTAGCAAGGACTTAACAATAAACTGGTCTTAAATACATCTAAAACCAAAAGTAATGCATTTGGTTCAAAGCATTCTCTTAGACCTAAACCTCAACTGGAGTTGTGCATAAATGGTGTAACCATTGAACAAGTTGAAAAACCTGAACTTCTAGGAGTAACATTGGATGGTCAGTTATCATGGTCAAGTCATATTGACAAAGTTGTTGTGAAGATGGGAAGAGGTATGTCTCTTATAAAAAAGATGTTCTGCGTTTTTGACACAAAGATCAACTGTACTACTTATTCAGGCTTTGAATCTTGTCCCATCTTGATTACTTTCCGGTAATATGGTTAGGTGAAGCAAAGAAAGACCTAGCAAAGCTGCAGCTGGCTCAAAACAAAGCAGCACGCCCTGCCCTTAACTGCACACACAGAACTAACATCAACAAAATGCATGATAATCTTTCATGGTTGAGGGTTGAGGAGAAATTGACTAATTCTCTGCTAGTCTTTTTAAGAAACATTTGTGTGTTGAAAATGCCTAACCACTTGTATAATCTATTCGCATACACTTCAAACTGACATACATACCCCACCAGACACGACGCTATGGGTTTCTTCACGGTACCCAAACCAAAAACAGATTTAATGTGTCGCTCATGTCATTGTGGAATGCTCTGCCACCATAGGTTACTCAGGCAAAAAGCAAGTTTAGCTTAAAAAAACCCAGATACAAAACATTGTATCACAGCGCCTCTCCTCTTTCTAAAGATCTAATTTAACTGTACTGTATATAATAATATTAATATATACAGTGGGGAGAACAAGTATTTGATACACTGCCGATTTTGCAGGTTTTCCTACTTACAAAGCATGTAGAGGTCTGTAATTTTTATCATAGGTACACTTCAACTGTGAGAGACGGAATCTAAAACAAAAATCCTGAAAATCACATTGTATGATTTTTAAGTAATTCATTTGCATTTTATTGCATGACATAAGTATTTGATACATCAGAAAAGCAGAACTTAATATTTGGTACAGAAACCTTTGTTTGCAATTACAGAGATCATACGTTTCCTGTGGGTCTTGACCAGGTTTGCACACACTGCAGCAGGGATTTTGGCCCACTCCTCCATACAGACCTTCTCCATTTCCTTCAGGTTTTGGGGCTGTCCACTCCAGGACCTTGAGATGCTTCTTACGGAGCCACTCCTTAGTTGCCCTGGCTGTGTGTTTCGGGTCATTGTCATGCTGGAAGACCCAGCCACGACCCATCTTCAATGCTCTTACTGAGGGAAGGAGGTTGTTGGCCAAGATCTCGCGATACATGGCCCCATCCATCCTCCCCTCAATACGGTGCAGTCGTCCTGTCCCCTTTGCAGAAAAGCATCCCCAAAGAATCATGTTTCCACCTCCATGCTTCACGGTTGGGATGGTGTTCTTGGGGTTGTACTCATCCTTCTTCTTCCTCCAAACACGGCGAGTGGAGTTTAGACCAAAAAGCTCTATTTTTGTCTCATCAGACCACATGACCTTCTCCCATTCCTCCTCTGGATCATCCAGATGGTCATTGGCAAACTTCAGACGGGCCTGGACATGCACTGGCTTGAGCAGGGGGACCTTGCGTGCAGGATTTTAATCCATGACGGCGTAGTGTGTTACTAATGGTTTTCTTTGAGACTGTGGTCCCAGCTCTCTTCAGGTCATTGACCAGGTCCTGCCGTGTAGTTCTGGGCTGATCCCTCACCTTCCTCATGATCATTGATGCCCCACGAGGTGAGATCTTGCATGGAGCCCCAGACCGAGGGTGATTGACCGTCATCTTGAACTTCTTCCATTTTCTAATAATTGCGCCAACAGTTGTTGCCTTCTCACCAAGCTGCTTGCCTATTGTCCTGTAGTCCATCCCAGCCTTGTGCAGGTCTACAATTTTATCCCTGAAGTCCTTACACAGCTCTCTGGTCTTGGCCATTGTGGAGAGGTTAGAGTCTGTTTGATTGAGTGTGTGGACAGGTGTCTTTTATACAGGTAACGAGTTCAAACAGGTGCAGTTAATACAGGTAATGAGTGGAGAACAGGAGGGCGTCTTAAAGAAAAACGAACAGGTCTGTGAGAGACGGAATTCTTACTGGTTGGTAGGTGATCAAATACTTATGTCATGCAATAAAATGCAAATGAATTACTTAAAAATCATACAATGTGATTTTCAGGATTTTTGTTTTAGATTCCGTCTCTCACAGTTGAAGTGTACGTATGATAAAAATTACAGACCTCTACATGCTTTGTAAGTAGGAAAACCTGCAAAATCGGCAGTGTATCAAATACTTGTTCTCCCCACTGTATATATTAAGTGTGTAAATAGTATTTTTGTTGTCTCTTGGTGTCTTTCCTATAAAACATTTTTATTTTGAATTTAATGTATTCTTGTCTATTACTGTTCTGTACTTTGTCATGTATTTGTATGTTTTATGTGGACCCCAGGAATAGTAGCTGCTGCATGTACAGTAGCTAATGGGTATCCTAATAAACTAAACTAAACTATGCTCTCTGGGCTGGGTTGTAGCTAGCTATAGAATGAGATTACGACACCACCCATGCCCAGAGAGAAAACACCAGGGCTTTCACAACCTGTTCCCTTTCTAGAACAATCTAATCATATTAAAAGGCTTGGCATGACACTCAGAGCTCAGGGGCACAACTCTCAGTTACACCAACCATTCCTGCCTATGCCTGCACAACTACAGAGAGAGGGAGTGAGGGGAAGAGAGGGGGTGAGGGGAAGAGATGGAGTGAGGGGAAGAGAGGGAGAGAGCAGAACGAGATTTTAAAAAACATGCATTAACAGCTACCTGCTGCGATTGCGTTGTCTCCCTCCCGCTTAGCGGTTGCCACACAATGTGGCTTCACCCCAGACCTGTTCTGTTCTAATGAGTTCAACCCGTTCTATCACCTCTCACCATTTCCAAATCCCCCCTCTCAACCCCCATCACCCAAAAGCTATGCCAATGGATTTGCCTGGTTCCCACTTCAGATGTAGAGTGGCAGCAGAGCCCAGGAATTCATCTCTCTCTAGGGGGGTGTTAGAGAACCAGTGGGCCCCACAGCTGCCACAGAGTTGTGGGAGAGCCTGGGAAATAAGACCGTGCCCAAGAATGCTGCCTTGTGCAATACTCGCCAGCAAAGACGACATGCAAGAGTGGTGGACAAAAGCCAACTCTGACTCTAAAATCATGTGACATGTATGAGAACCAAGCAGAAGAAGGAGAATGGACGTTGGGGAAGTTCAGTGATGCTCAGCATAATTTGACAGAGAGTGGTGAACGCAGCGATGCAGCGCCAACTGGCGAAGCATACTATGTGGAAGCACTGTATGTAGTATGTGGAGTGTTGCTCTGTTGCATGTCGATGTGACACTGTGGTTCTCACCTGTCCAGCAGTGTCACAGAGCTGTAGTCTCACAGGGTGTCCATCCACCTGCACCACCGCTGTGGGGGGAGAGAGAGAGAGAGAGAGAGAGAGAGAGAGAGAGAGAGAGAGAGAGAGAGAGAGAGAGAGAGAGAGAGAGAGAGAGAGAGAGAGAGAGAGAGAGAGAGAGAGAGAGAGAGAGAGAGAGAGAGTGTGTTAAATCAGCTGCCTCCACATTGCTTCACCTGACACTTTAAACAAACATACACACACAGAGAGAGGGAGAGAGAGACCTCTGACAGAGGAGAGACCAGCCCACCAAAATATCCTCTGGGAAAAACAAAAGCAAGCCAGTTTGACGTACTTCATACCCCCTGGACACAGTGGACAGAAACCTCACCCATCCCCCTAACTCAGAATGGCGGCATGTCTCGCCCACCCACTCGCCCAGTTAAAGTAAAGGCAGTAACTACTCTCTTTCATACCATATTATGTGTTCTTTCAAGCTTTGAAAGCCCTGCCAAGCTGTCTACAGAGGAAAACAAAGCATATTTGTTTGTTTAGTGACTCTCCCAATAGCTCTCTCCAGATTGGAAGAGTGCTATGAGTCATGTCACTAGCAGTTTCATTATAGGCCATGTTTCAAAAGAGCTCAATGTGGTGAAGCTTATGGAAGCGTTTACAAGGCGCCCGGGGTATACAGTCACACCACCTGATCAAAGAGCTGAGTACTACTCCTCATTAAACCCAGCGCCTATTGTGCAATCATTCCCAAATCCCTGACATATGATCTGCCTTGTATTCTACTTGGGCCCAAAACTCTCTGCCCTCCCCTCTCTCCATCCCTTCCTCCCTCTCTTTCCTCTACCCCAAGTGTCACCTGTGGAATTGCATAACTGCCCAGAAATCAGCTTTCAAAAGAGGGCTCTGATTTCAGCGACAGATACATGACATCATCAAATGGGGCCCCAACTGCACAATCCCTCTCTGTCACGGGGGCGAAAGACAATCTCTGCTCAGAGCCATTGCAACAGATGTGTCCATTCCATTATAGCAGAGAGACGGCTTTTAGGTCAAGGCTGACAACAATGGCCAGAGTTGTGCAATTCAAAACCATGCCTGCCTGCGAGAACCATGTTCAACAAGCATGTTTTGTTCAGTTTAGGCCTTATAACTTGTATTTCTGAGGGCAGTGAGGGAGGGATGAATATTAAAAGTGTTAGTGTGTGTATAAGCCTATTAAAATATGCAATATTCTCATTCAAAACCTTCCATAACGGTTGGAAAAAGTATAGTTCGGTGTTTAGAATAATAGAATGGTTATAATAGATTTATATTCCTGATGAAAGGATAAGTAAAGGCAGCTGTGTCTAATTATAATTTTGGATGGTCATAAAGAGGGTGTCACATTTTCCTAATCAAGCCTCCCCTAGAGTTATCATGTCATGCAAGTTTAGATGAATTCAGACATTGTGTTTTGGTGGAGGTTTCCTGAGATCAAGTTTATAGGGAAGACTTCAAAAGGAAGAATAGGCCTCTCCTGCGATAATGACGCGATAACATCAGTGTGTGCGGGCGTTGTCGTCAATTGCTTGCCAACGGAGGTTAGTTTAAACAAGTATGCCGTTTAAGTTTTCAACCGTTTTGTACATTAGACAAAAATTTGCTAGTGGCAGCGTTTTGGAAAATGGAATTCTGCCAACTGGAAAATACAACAGGCCAGGGCGTATAAAATGACCAGGGCATATCATTTGTGTGCAATAATACAAAGACCTGCACAGACCGTCGCTGCTGTTAGCCTCGAGGTCAGCAAAATGAAAGAAGAAAAGTTAGCTGATTCATTCAGCAGAAAGGGTGGCTGCAAGGGAGAGCCAGCGCATTTCCCCGTTACAATGTAACAGAGATGTTCACTATGGTCAATTAAGGCTTTGTTACAATGTAGCAATGTGCAATATATATATATATACGTGTTGTCCCATAGTCCAAATCAAAACGTAGCAATGTGCAACAGAAAACATGTTTTATGTTTATTATTTTATCTGGCTGGGAAGTTGCAGATTTGATATCTGTAGGAGACACATCTATCATTATTTTTGTCCAAGAATAGTACCGCAAGAAATGGTTTTAACTGGCTCACCTGAAAAGTCATCAAACGCAGTGGGGACGTATTTCGTTGGATAGCCATTCGTTGTGTAGCTGACAACCAGGCTGGTCTTCCCAACCGCTCCATCGCCGAGTAGTACGCACTTCAACACCCGCTCCTGAGCCTCACCTGGCCGGGTAGTTTTGGTTTTGTGCGGCGGCACTGGAGGAGCCATGGTCTGGTTATAATCCATTGGAACTGGAGGTGACATTCAGCACTTGTTACGAACACCTTTCCCTTACTCCAGTAGGAGCAAATAAAGAGAGCACCATGAGAATGTGTTCTGTAGCCTATAATATATTTGTCAAGTAGACAGGTTGGTCTATATTTTTATTTTTTATAATTCAAAGCAGTAGTCTTGTGCTCTCCAAATAACTAATAATCATTGTGTGTAAAAAGTTGAAAACAGGCACTTCTCTGGGTTTTGAATACTCCAATCTGTTACTCCAATATGTTACACGTTGGAGGAGGAGGGTCTGCTTTATAACTTCAAGCGTGATTTGACTATTCCCTCCCCTCTCCTCCACCACTGCGTTTTGAAAGGAAGCGAGTTGATGGACACGCCTTCTGTCAGTGGCAAAATTAACATATTCATATACCTGTAGGATTGTGTACTGCAGGGGTCCCCAATTACATTCAGCCGTGGGCGGAATGGTCGGGTCCTGAACATAGTTATAAATAATTTTGTAACTGCAAATTGACCGCAAGAATCCCAAACAAATATAGTATTTGACAAAAACCGATTTGACGAAAACAGAATGATTTAAAACCTTGATTGCATTGGGATATGATCTCATATGCCTCTCTATTTATGCATGAGAATATTTGGGAACAGATTTCCTAAATTAAAATCACTTTGTGCTGATTTCCTGATGATTTTACAGTCTTTTATGTCCAACAACGAAAATTATAAAAAATTATAAAAATATATATATGTTTTTTTTGCTCAGAATTGGGGAACCCTGGTATTCAAATGTAGTATATTGAACACCTCAAATATTTGTGTAGCCCACCATTCCCTATTCCTATTCATTTTAGATTAACACAAAGGGAAAAACTTGAAAGGCAACCTTTAGAGAACTTTGACATGCATTGCCCCTTTGGCAATTTACCTACTAACTATTTAAAATGAGGGCCAGTAACTAAAAACATAATTCTACAAAAAAACGTAGGCCCTATCATTCAACTGTTCATAATTCATTTGCTTTGTCAAGCAGCTGGTTGTGAAAGGAGACATTTATTTGACACCCTACCTACTCAACACGTTTGAAAATGAATGTGGCACACCTTTGACAGATTTAGGCTGATACAATATTATTTCAATGGCCTACAGTGACAACAGATTAAACAAAAATACAGAGCCTATTTGCGTACAAACCAGGCCTAATACACTTTAATAACACCTAGTTTGAGGTCAGGGCATGTTGAGACTTGTCAAGGTAAGGCCCGTTTAAATGGCCCTATTTCCTTCTGTCACTTGCCGATCTTTTAATAAAGTACAAGCTGAAACGCCAGTGAGGCCCATGGTTGAGTTTGGACTAGGCCCATTAAATATGTCGCCTACTGCGCTATATTTGAGCCTAGAGCAAGCAGTACTGAATTTCCAGTCGATTCCGTCATTTCTGGTTAATTTTACCATCGGGGTTTCCCTTTACAAATTCTAAAGATATCTCAGCCTCGCGGATATTTGCATATTAACTTCTGAAGAGTCACTGTCAAGGCGCCGATCAAGACGCATTGAAAGTGTCAAACTAACTGTCCATCAAGTGTAAATGTCGTATTCAAAATGTCAATCAAAATGGAGTGACACCTTCACTATTAATCTGTGACACAGTATGACTGTTGCAGTACATGCATTGGCTTTTGTCGCCTCCCTGTGGTAAAAAGCTAGACATCAAATGGCAAGGATAACGCTCCCTCTTTTTCTTTCTTTTAGTTTAGCTTTAAAACGTTAATATTAAAAACTCGGAGTCTTCTCTCTCTCTCTCTCTCGCTCTCTCTCTCTCTCTCTCTCTCTCTCTCTCTCTCTCTCTCTCTCGCTCTCTCTCTCTCTCTCTCTCTCTCTCTCTCTCTCTCTCTCTCTCTCTCTCTCTCTCTCTCTCTCTCTCTCTCTCTCTCTCTCTCTCTCTCTCTCTCACACACACACACACACACACATAAACAGTATTGTACAGCTAACCTTGTGGGGGGACACAATTCAGTCCCATTCAAAATCCTATTTTCCCTAACCCCTAATGCTAAACCTAACTCTAACCATAATCTGTACTCTTACCCTTACCCTTACCCTAACCTTAACCCAAAAACCTAACCTTAACCCTAACCCTAACCCTAAACCTAGCTCCTAACCCTAACCCTAAAACGAACCCTAGCTCCTAACCCTAACCTTTACCGTAATTCTAACCCTAACACAAATTCTAACCTTAACCGTAAACCCCCTAGAAATAGCATTTGACCTCGTGGGGACTAACAAAATGTCCCCAGTTGGTCAAAACATTTTTTGTTTACTATTCTTGTGGGGACTTCAGGTCCCCAAAAGAATAGTTAAACACGTCCACACACACACACACACACACACACACACACACACACACACACACACACACACACACACACACACACACACACACACACACACACACAAACAAGGTGGTGTGAAACGCGGAAAGGAATCAAACACTGGACTTGATTTATTTTTCAAGATTTTGTCTTTAATATATTATTGCAAGATTCAACGTTTGGGTACCCATTAGATTTTTGATCATACAAAATTATTCATGTTGGTCTATGCATAAGACAAGTAATGACAGTTCATTTTAGGTTTGTTAAGACTTGCTCTCATGTCCTTGCCCCTTCTAAGGGATTGTGTAATAAAGTCTTCCTGCGAACCATTACCCATCTCACCTCTCATCCTCCAATTCACCATCTACCAAGGGTTCAGGTCTGTCTTGGGCTTCAGGCATCCCTAGTACTGTGTAGTGAGATCAGTGCAACATACTATAAACTATAGTAGGGAGGGAGACGTCAAGTGTTGGTGAACAGGCCACATCATTTAATCATGTCCTGGGATAAAGTTAATTCTAACTCTTAACATACAAGGCCCACTTTGTGGCACAAATGTCAGAACATACAATAATAATAATAATAATAATAATAATAATAATAATAATAAGGCAGGGGAAAATGTACCCTTAAAAAACTTGACAGGTCTAGTGCACTACTACTAAATCACACTGCCAGGCTGTGGTGAGGACCTGAAAGCAATAGGTGTAAAGAGGTGGGCATTTCAGTGGCAGCAAATTCTGAAATGTTTCTTTACACTGAAATGATAATGATGATGATGATGATTATACATTATTGTGAAATGACTCTAAAAAAGCCTTGGTTTTAGTCCAACAAGAATGGCTTGTTACAGAAGGCGTCTAGAAGCAGTTATCTAGCTAGTCATTCCTTCCCTGACGACTCAAACTTAATTGTTCCGCTTCTCTATGTTCGCTACATACTTCAGTCTGAGACTGACATCGTTTAAGTCGTTTGTGATTATGTCAAAATGAGGGGTGTTGTACGAAACAGTCATCAGCGATTGGATCATCTCTAATCAAAGCCAATGACACATTTTCAAAACGCAGCTTTAGCCACGTCTGTTTTGGCTCTGGCCTAACCCATCGCTTTCTGGGACTAATCAGAACGGTTAGAATGTGTTTACGTTAAAAAAAAATCGCCTGGGAAGTATTCATTACGGAGAAGAAACTAACGTCTGTGGGAATGGCGTAGCGTTTGGCCGGAGCAAGGAGTTTGGGTAGCCAGGCAAAGTCATTCAGTTCATGCACTAATGTGACTGTTGTTAGAAAGGCACCTATTGAGTCATTGGTCCCAAACACCCTTTCAGGCTAGACGTAATCTCGGAAACCCAGAACTAAAATCACACGTAATTGCGTCAGATGCTCAATTAGGTTCTTGGGGGTGATGTATGAGAAAAGATACTTACGAGACTAGCGAAGTCTCCACCCCCCTAAACCGAAACGCTCAGCCCAAGCATGGGCCAAATGTCCCCTCCCCTTCTGAAATTTGAAAGATACGAACACCTGTGAAATCTTGATTTGGCCAAATGATCAGTGATGAAAAAATCTGCACACTGGAACAAATTTCCTCATTAGTCAACGCATCCCACAGTCTGTTGACAGACTACGATACCATCCTATGTTGCGTGCATCTGTCCACGAGAGATTAGGCTAGAGGTACCCTCTGTGTGGGTGATGGGGGTTCAATATTTTGGTAATACTACCCCCTCCATAGATCTTTAAATTATCCATCTAGCCTTTTATTTTTTCAACTCCTCTGCATAAATACTTCTGATGCATTACCAGAGGGACATGTGTGTGCCTCTGTATCTATATCAATTGGCCTGTCATATCAAACCATATTCTGGCTGACGATGAAGGAGATTAATATAATTGTTTCAATACTCCATCAACCGAGCTCTGGTTTAACCTTCAATACTCAGTACTGTATTACCCAAATTCCTTTTACCTCAATCTCAGATGAAACCCTAACTAACTGCATTTTCCCCAATTCCATTCTCACAGATATTCGGATCTTTAAAAGTCATACTGTGTACATTTTCGATCATTGTCTTCTTGAATGTCAATTCAGAAAATACATTTAGAGGCCTGGTTCTGACTATGCTGTTGTATCCTACAGTTGAAGGTGGGGGTAATTTTAGAAACTTCACTGGTTGTATAGACTGGTGAAATGAGAATGGAAGACGTTCAACGTTATTGAATACAAATGTCGTGTGGATGATCATATGGGCAAAAAGAAACAGAACATTTGAAATGAAAAGAACAGTTGTGGTTTTAATAGTTCTCAGGTAACAGGTTCAGATCAGCAAGCTGCATGTCAACTCACACATACTGTGTACACACACATACACACACACACTCGTCATGAGCACAAAAGTGCCATCATTCCCTCACACACACACATCCTGATTCCAAGTGTTAGGCTGCCATGAATAATGATGAACTCTAGTTTGGTGAACTCCAACCTCTGACCCTGGACTGACCCTGTCCTAGCTCCTGGTGAACTCCAGTCCTGCTGGACTCTATACTGAAGTTTTTACTTCCCTCTGATCAGATATACAGCTGTTAATAAGGAACCCACAGGTCTCATAGCATTAGAGGTTCCAATCAGTCTTATTACTTTACTGGACTGCAGCTGTCTGTGTCATTCAAGCCACAATCACCCATGTAGGTCATTTAATGCTGTACCAACAATCATGAGCTGTGTCTTAAATCTTCCTTCGAAACAGCAACAACTCTCGTCCAGATATCACTTCCGTTCCCTCATCCTCACCCAATAGCAACCTACCCAATCCCACCATACAGTATACAGTATCATCATGTCCCAACCCCATGCTTCGACTCCCCACACAACCCGCCCCAATCTCAGAAGCTCCGCCTTCTGGAGCTCTGAGCACAGACTGCTGAGTAAGACATCTGAGTGACAGCCTGTAACTCCTTCTCTTCTCTGCTCCTCATCCTCCTGTCCGCCATGACTCTTCATTGTGTTTTGGGCTTGGCACCGCCAGGGGTTGGGTCAGGGGTGGGGCCACCACCTTGGGCAATTCTGTGGAGACTGTATTAAAGAGAGGGGTCAATATCACATTATCTCATTTTCATTGGTCATTGACAAAGGTTATATGCTTTTTCTATACCATTTCTCCAATACTGCCAGCCATTACAAATTGAGTAAATGTCACAGTGATTCAGAATTCAGTTCAGGGTCTGCAGAGCTGCATTGGAAAACTACAGGAAGGAAAGAGGAATGTTTAATTCCACTGTTGTGCCGTAAGATGGCGCCATACTCACATGTCCTTGACGTTGTCAATGTTTGCCTGAATTCCTGCAAAGAAGCCATCCACTTTTGCCTGGAACATCAAAAAGGGTATTGGTGAGAAACACACTTCATTTGAACAACTGACAGAAGTACCTTCTTTTACTGAATTAATCAGGGTAGCAGTTGTCAGCAGCGTGAGTGAGATTTGACCTGGTTCTGCCTGTAGAACAGTGGTAGAGAGAAGAGGGCGATCACACCTGGAGAAGAGGAAGATAGAAAGGGAGGAGTGAGCATGTGTTATGCCTTCTGATTGAGTATATAGCTTCTTCAGACTAACAACATGGCATACACTTTTATTAAAATCAAAAGGATGTTGATAAAACAATAGAAGCGCTGTCTTCAACTGAAATACTAGAAGTAAAATATGCGACAATGTCAGCATTCATCAACCAATTGTATCCGTCTCTACAGGACAAATGGCCATCATGATTTTTGAATGGCAATACAATAAAGTTATTCAAATACTGATTCTAACTGTGTCTGTGATTCTCACCAATGATGAGCACTGTAAGGCCGTTACACAGGTCTCCCAGGAAGGTCACCAGGTACATCAGAGCCAGGAGCTGAAAAGAACGGGAGGAAACACACAGTGAGCTCCACATACACAATGCACAATTGAATGTACTCTTTGCATTAAGGATTGAAAAATCCCATCAAAATATAAATATATTTAGCAGACAAATTTATCCATAGCAACTTGCAGTCATGCATGCATACATTTTAAGTATGGGTGGCCCCGGGAATTGAACCCACTATCCTGGCAATGCAAGCAACTGACCACCAAAGACCACACAAGCTTGTGGTAAATGTGTTGCAAAGAGTATCTTAAATAATCCCACAGCACCCCTCCTTGCAAACCCTCCACACCTTTCGTGAACTAACACTCACACTTGACTTCCCCCCCCCCCCCCCTTACTAGCTCTGACTTTCCTGATCGTTACTTTATTGAGGAAAAATGTACTTACTATCACTGAGATATGTGGTTGTCCCACCTAGCTATCTTAAAATGAATGCACTAACTGTAAGTCACTGTAATATGTTAATGAATGCATGCATCATATGTCAAAATTGCACATGGTCCCTGACAAATGAATGAGTACATTATTCCCAGATCATCCACCATAACCCTTCTGGAGTTCGTGTAATATAGCTCAGTGGGTTGTCACTTCGGACCCTTACCCCCATCCTGAAACGGGACACCCCCCTCTCAGAGAAGACGAAACTCCTCTCGCCCCTGTAACTGGGTGAACAGCCACCTGTGTCCCATGTCACATACCGGCCAGGTCAGGGTTGATATCGCGGGGCTCTGGGGCTTCTGGGGATCAGGCTCAAGGCTACGTGGCACAGTCACACTGGCTCTCACTAACTGAGATAAGTCACACTAAGTACTCCTGCTGTACATTTACATTTAACCCTGAAGCATTATTGTGCAACGCATATGACTGTTGTTGATTCAATTTGCCAATGTTTTAGTTCTACTGTCCCGGTAAACTGGAGAGAAAATGAATGAAGTCTAAAAGGAAGGTTTCTAGCAGAAACACTTTATCATTTGATAAAAAATTTAGCTTTAGATTTTGTTATTAGTCGAAGTTTGCAAGCATACAACATGTGCTGTACACCGTTGAAGTCGGAAGTTTACATACACTTAGGTTGGAGTCATTAAAACTAGTTTTTCAACCACTCTACAAATTTCTTGTTAACAAACTATAGTTTTGGCAAGTCGGTTAGGACATCTACTTTGTGCATGACACAAGTAATTTTTCCAACAATTGTTTACAGACAGATTATTTCACTTATAATTCACTGTATCACAATTCCAGTTGGTCAGAAGTTTACATACATTAAGTTAACTGTGCCTTTAAACAGCTTGGAAAATTCCAGAAAATGATGTCATGGCTTTAGAAGGTTCTGATAGGCTAATCGACATCATTTGAGTCAATTGGAGGTGTACCTGTGGATGTATTTCAAGGCCTACCTTCAAACTCAGTGCCTCTTTGCTTGACATCATGGGAAAATCAAAAGAAATCAGCCAAGACCTCAGAACAAAAATTGTAGACCTCCACAAGTCTGGTTCATCCTTGGGAGCAATTTCCAAATGCCTGAAGGTACCACGTTCATCTGTACAAACAATAGTACGCAAGTATAAACACCATGGGACCACACAGCCGTCATACCGCTCAGGAAGGAGACGCGTTCTGTCTCCTAGAGATGAATGTACTGTGGTGCGAAATGTGCAAATCAATCCCAGAACAACAGCAAAGGACCTTGTGAAGATTCTGAAGGAAACAGGTACAAAAGTATCTATATCCACAGTAAAACGAGTCCTATATCGACATAACCTGAAAGGCCGCTCAGCAAGGAAGAAGCCATTGCTCCAAAACCGCCATAAAAAAGCCAGACTACGATTTGCAACTGCACATGGGGACAAATATCGTACTTTTTGGAGAAATGTCCTCTGGTCTGATGAAAGAAAAATATAACTGTTTGGCCATAATGACCATTGTTATGTTTGGAGGAAAAAGGTTGTCACTTGCAAGCCGAAGATCACCATCCCAACCGTGAAGAACGGGGGTGGCAGCATCATGCTGTGGGGGTGCTTTGCTGCAGGAGGGACTGGTGCACTTCACAAAATAGATGGCATCATGAGGAAGGAAAATTATGTGGACATATTGAAGCAACATCTCAAGACATCAGTCAGGAAGTTAAAGCTTTGTTGCAAATGGGTCTTCCAAATGGACAATGACCCCCAACCATACTTCCAAAGTTTTGGCAAAATGGCTTAAGGACAACAAAGTCAAGGTATTGGAGTGGCCATCACATAGCCCTGACCTCAATCCTATAGAACATTTGTGGGCAGAACTGAAAAAGCGTGTGCGAGCAAGGAGGCCTACAAACCTGACTCAGTTACACCAGCTCTGTCAGGAGGAATGGGCTAAAATTCACTCAACTTATTGTGGGAAGCTTGTGGAAGGCTACCCGAAACGTTTGACCCAAGTTAAACAATTTAAAGGCAATGCTACCAAATACTAATTGAGTGTATGTAAACTTCTGACCCACTGGGAATGTGATTAAAGAAATAAAAGCTGAAATAAATCATTCTCTCTACTATTATTCTGACATTTCACATTCTTAAAATAAAGTGGTGATCCTAACTGACCTAAGACAGGGAATGTTTACTAGGATTAAATGTCAGGAATTGTGAAAAACTGAGTTTAAATGTATTTGGCTAAGGTGTATGTAAACTTCTGACTTCAACTGTATATTGTATTACTATGACAAGGGAACATGTTTCACCGATATGTCAGGACTGACCTACACTCTTAAAAGAAAGGGTTCCAAAAGGGTTCTTCGGCTGTCCCCATAGGAGAACCCTTTTTGGTTCTAGGTAGAACCCATTTGGGTTCCAGGTAGAACCCATTTGGGTTCCATGTAGAACCCTCTGTAGAAAAGGTTCTACATGTAACCCAAAAGGGTTCTACCTGCAACCAAAAAGGGTTCTTCAAAGGTTTCTCCTATGGGGACAGCCGAAGAACCCTTTGAAATTCTAGATAACCGTAAGTGAAATGTCATACCTGTTCTGTATGAAACACATACATAGGATGGGGAGAGGGAAAGGACAAGAACCTTTGCATAGCCTTTGCATGAGTACTATGTCGTTTTAGCCTCCATAAAAAATGACACCATTGCAATGCTTTGAGAGCACTCAGGGACACTTGTAATGGGAAGATACAGTTGCATTGCTTTCTTATTGTTACCCTTACAATACGACACACGTTCTTTGTGTATTGACCCCGATGCGAATCCAATAAAAACCCAATGTACTACAAACTTGCAATTGTGCTTGCTGCCAGTTTGCTTGCATCACACTCCGATGCAACCAAAAACAAGGGAACATTTAAAGCAGCAGGACTGTATATACATGATTATCACAATTATATGAACCACAGTGAGTTGTGGGTATGACAGCAGCTCTCTTTGATAGTGGTCTTGTTAGGAAACACAGTCGTCATTTGTCATTTGGCGACGGAGGGCATGACAATGTTGTCATCTCCAATGAACGGGGAGGCAGGCTGATGCCAGTACAGCACAGAACAGAGGAAGAGAAAAATATGGATAGAGAAAGGGGAGGGATGGATGTCTGTTCTCATGAAAGAGAGTAGAGCCCAGACAGCTAGCGGTAGTAATGTTGAAGTAAATCCACAACGACAAGACAGCCTCCTGTAAACACGATAATGGATGGGGTTCAAGAGACAAGGAGGAGAAGGTAAGGAGATTAAAAGACAGACAAAGAAAGAAAAGGAGCAAAAGAGAGAGAGAGAGAGAGAGAGAGAGAGAGAGAGAGAGAGAGAGGGGGGGGGGGGGGGGGGGGGGGGGGTTTGAGGGGAAAAGGGTCTATGCCATTCTGAAGAGCTTTCTTGTGTAAAAGGTTATTTGAACCAAAAGTAAATGAACGAGACTGAGAGGAGCTATTGAAGGAGAGCGTATAAAAGGTACACTGCCATATTCTGGCCAATTCTAGATGAAGATCGAGGAGATCCAATACCTAGGCAGTCTCACCTTGAGAGAGTCGAAGAGGCTTCCAACCAGGAAGAGATTCTTGAGTGAGTTAGCAGCAGAGACAACTGTAACGATGGCCTTCTGCATGTATTGGTCAGCCAGCTCCCCACTGAAACTGATGTCCAGATCCAGATACGCCCTGAGGAGAGAAATAGTGGGGGGCCGCATTAAAACCAGAGTGATAGGGGGGGAGTGATGGAGAAAGAGAGGGAGATAGAGTCCATGATCAAGGACCAATGGGAAGGAGGAAAGAGTGAGTGTTGATTAGAAAATGAGTGATAGTCGCCACGAACACAACCTGATGCATACACAGTTTGTTGTCTTATGCCTCAATGATTTCCATCAGAACAGATATTCTTTTCAGATCATGATGGATGAAGTCTATCAACTATTTTATCAAACAGCAGTGGTTAGCCTAAACAAATCATAAAACACACTACCGTTTTCAAAGTCAAGCCCACTGGACTGTGAATTTATTTTGGGCGGTGCAGGAATCCAGCCAATTGAGAACCTATTCCTGAATGCTACTCCCACAGCATTATTAGAGAAGATAGGAGATAAACGAGAGTGGGAGGGAGTGGGAGATGAGGGAAAAGAGGAGAGGATAGGCGAGAAGAAGTAAGAAAAGAAGAGGGGAGAGGAGAGGAAGAAGACAAGGGAATAAAGGGGAAAATAGGAAATATTTCGAAAAGAGCAGAGAGGACAAAGTGAATGGAGAGCAGAGATGATGAATATGTCAAGAGAAGAGACCCCCTCCAGATTTAATAGGAACACTTCCCACCCCATTCTATCCCATCCCATCCCAGGTGGCCAGCCACTCACTTGAAGGGGTGCACTCCGTCTCCCATGCTGAGCACGTGCAGGATGTTATAGTAGAGGCGGACTGAGACGGTGAAGCACATGATGCCCAGGGAGATGGTGGAGATGACTGTGATGATGCTGAGCTGGAACAAGGACAGGAGGCCCACCACCAGCCCTGTGAATACCATGCCTGAACACTCTGTGTCCTTCCAGTAGATCAGATCCATCACTGAGGAGAGGAGGAGGAGGAGAGGAGAGGAGTGGAGGGGAGAGCAGAGGAGACAGAGAAGGATAGTTGGTAATAGAGGGATAGGGAGGGGAATTGACAAGAGAGGGAGAAAAGGTGGAGAAATAAGAAAGTTGCAAAGTCAACATGTTCTCTTCACATAGAAACCAATGAGAAACAGAGTGGAAGCCAACATGGACTCAGGAGTCTTCATTGAAGCAGGGTGGGGGAGGGGACAAGCCCATGCATCTGACACTTCCTCTTGTTATTTTAGTTGGTTGCTAAAGGCAGCAGGGACAGTCAGAGCTGCAAGAGTCTCTCCTCCTCACTGTTCCTGCCTATGTGCCTTTTACAAAACCCCGACAGCATCACCAGCCAGTCAGTCCCTGTTTGGCTCTGACTCTCCAGTGCTCAGTGGGCCAGAAGGCCTTTCAGCTGTGCAGAGGCAGAGCAGTGGGACAGTGATCACCAAGCAGAGAGAAAACACACACAGGAGCAGGGGGAGACGTCAAGCCTAACATGGACTTAATATAGCCTGCACACTGTATAGAGGATGGGAGAGAGAAGAGGAAAGAAAAGAGGAGAGGAGAGGAGAGGAGAGGAGAGGAGAGGAGAGGAGAGGAGAGGAGAGGAGAGGAGAGGAGAGGAGAGGAGAGGAGAGGAGAGGAGAGGAGAGGAGAGGAGCAGGAACCCTGAATTTAAATGTTGCCTCGGAGAGCACCTGCTGACAGTCTTCAAGCCCGCTACCACCCCCTCTCTACACCCTGTCCGTCTCCCTCGATCAGTCACCCAGCAACTGGAGCCGCTGCGACTGGGCGCTCTCATTACAAAAATGGAGGCTCCCCTGGCCTGATCCCTCCATGGAATAAGTCAAAGTAGCGCCAACCAACAGAGACATTACAGCCAAAACACTGATAGCACAGTGTAATGAAGCTGAACACTAGCAGCTCGCTAACCCTCGGACGTGGTAAACTGTAGTGACAAAGGCATGTGGTCATTACTCCATGGCTATTAGTGTATGAGTCAGCCTGGCCCTGGGAATTAGAATAGAGTGCACTGACATATCTGACCAGCAGGAGGACTATTTATAAACATTACCCCACACTATTAATACCTATAAAGCCTCCGGCACACACACACTTGTCCATTGTCCCAACAGGTGGAACTGTAGCATACAGCCCTCTTCGATGTGTTGGCACTTTGCGACATTGACCAGTACATGGTAAGACTGTTCAATGCATAGACTAAGTGCACTAAGAAAAGGAAGACATACAAGACAAGTTATACTAATGCCGGAGCAAAACAAACCCCTCATGTGACGGTCCAATAGATTGACTCTATACTAAGCCGTGTCTATATTGGTTGAAGTTAATATAGTTATATAATGAACTCTCTGAGAATAGTACAGACAATATGAAGTGGGGAAGGGGGAATGGGGGGTTACATACACACACACAGGCATACACACACATGCACACACGTGACCACAGACCAAATTGAAAGCTATATTTGCCATAATCTTAGGGAAACCTCTCTATCTGTGCCAACTGCGGCATTCTTTTACCCCATGAGGAAATACAATTCAGCACTCTTCTGACTGAACTAACCACCACAGAGCTGAGCACTGACTGACTGACTGACTGACTGACTGACTGACTCAATCGTTACTACAACATAATAAATTACCAGTCAACCAATTCACAGCCTGACCTGGCATTATTTACCACCACAACTAAAACCACCACCCAGCCATTGTAACACTACGGGGCATGCAGGAAGTCCCAGAGTACCCCTTGTGAAACACCTTGGCTCTGCCAACCCTGCTGCCAACCCTGCTGCCCAAAGAGGTAACATGTCCGATGGGGCACAAACCAGCTGATCACGCTACTAGCCTCTTACATACAGATACAACCACACAGATGGTGCTGTAACAAGCTACAACACAACTCTGGATGGTCACCACTAGGGCCGGGATGAGCAGGTTTTTAAAGGACCAAATAGTTTAATTTTTGCCATGGAAAAAATATTGCAATACTGGTCCCATCACTAAGCAGGCAGACACACACCTCTGCATAGTTGGTACGGTCTCAAACACTCATGGTCAGTGAGTGGTCAAAATCTCCCCATAGACCCCTGGCTGTAGCTGTTCTCCTGACGTTCAGACTCCTCTCCAAACCCACGGTCACTAAATGCATGGCTCTACAGTGGACAGACAGCCAGTCCCTATATGTGTAAGCGCCCCTACGGCTTGGGAAGATAGGTACTGTAACTTTAACTGTGCCCTGATCTTTCCGGTGTTTGAAACGAGACACTGCTTTGCCCATTCAATAGGTCCCCTGCCTCCCCGCCTAGTCAATTCACTGATAGAGCTCAGTGTGCCGACTGACACTGTCTCATATTATCTCCATCTTGTCTCTCTGAGCCCAGGGTCTTACCATTAATGTTGGCCATTTTGGTTGCTGCTCAGGCGATCCCCCCTTCTCTCTCTTTGACTCTCTCTCAGTCCCCCTGCTCTCTCCCTGCCACTCTGAGCTGTTTTTGGCCTCCCCTGCCCCGTCAGCAGTACAGAGACCTTTCAGCCAAAAATGATCTGCCCAATAGGGCCCGCCCCCCTCAAGACTAATGGAGACTCCAATGTAGATAGACAGATAGATATAGAGATACTGTAAGATGGATACCCAATATATTCACTTATTCACACATTTAGTACATGCACATACTGTATATTGACTGAGACAGAGACAAACCTTGAGACACAGACACATGTTGACATATACAGTGGGGAGAACAAGTATTTGATACACTGCCGATTTTGCAGGTTTTCCTACTTACAAAGCATGTAGAGGTCTGTAATTTTTATCATACGTACACTTCAACTGTGAGAAGCGGAAATCTAAAACAAAAATCCAGAAAATCACATTGTATGATTTTTAAGTAATTAATTTGCATTTTATTGCATGACATAAGTATTTGATCACCTACCAACCAGTAAGAATTCCGGCTCTCACAGACATGTTAGTTTTTCTTTAAGAAGCCCTCCTGTTCTCCACTCATTACCTGTATTAACTGCACCTGTTTGAACTCGTTACCTGTATAAAAGACGCCTGTCCACACACTCAATCAAACAGACTCCAACCTCTCCACAATGGCCAAGACCAGAGAGCTGTGTAAGGACTTCAGGGATAAAATTGTAGACCTGCACAAGGCTGGGATGGGCTACAGGACAATAGGCAAGCAGCTTGGTGAGAAGGCAACAACTGTTGGCGCAATTATTAGAAAATGGAAGAAGTTCAAGATGACGGTCAATCACCCTTGGTCTGGGGCTCCATGCAAGATCTCACCTCGTGGGGCATCAATGATCATGAGGAAGGTGAGGGATCAGCCCACAACTACACGGCAGGACCTGGTCAATGACCTGAAGAGAGCTGGGACCACAGTCTCAAAGAAAACCATTAGTAATACACTACGCCGTCATGGATTAAAATCCTGCAGCGCACGCAAGGTCCCCCTGCTCAAGCCAGCGCATGTCCAGGCCCGTCTGAAGTTTGCCAATGACCATCTGGATGATCCAGAGGAGGAATGGGAGAAGGTCATGTGGTCTGATGAGACAAAAATAGAGCTTTTTGGTCTAAACTCCACTCGCGGTGTTTGGAGGAAGAAGAAGGATGAATACAACCCCAAGAACACCATCCCAACCGTGAAGCATGGAGGTGGAAACATCATTCTTTGGGGATGCTTTTCTACAAAGGGGACAGGACGACTGCACCATATTGAGGGGAGGATGGATGGGGCCATGTGTCGCGAGATCTTGGCCAACAACCTCCTTCCCTCAGTAAGAGCATTGAAGATGGGTCGTGGCTGGGTCTTCCAGCATGACAATGACCCGAAACACACAACCAGGGCAACTAAGGAGTGGCTCCGTAAGAAGCATCTCAAGGTCCTGGAGTGTCCTAGCCAGTCTCCAGACCTGAACCCAATAGAAAATCTTTGTAGGGAGCTGAAAGTCCGTATTGCCCAGCGACAGCCCCAAAACCTGAAGGATCTGGAGAAGGTCTATATGGAGGAGTGGGCCAAAATCCCTGCTGCAGTGTGTGCAAACCTGGTCAAGACCTACAGGAAACGTATGATCTCTGTAATTGCAAACAAAGGTTTCTATACCAAATATTAAGTTCTGCTTTTCTGATGTATCAAATACTTATGTCATGCAATAAAATGCAAATTAATTACTCAAAAATCATACAATGTGATTTTCTGGATTTCTGGAAATTACAGACCTCTACATGCTTTGTAAGTAGGAAAACATGCAAAATCGGCAGTGTATCAAATACTTGTTCTCCCCACTGTACATAGATAGCCATAGCTGGATAACATGGAGAACAAACAAAACCACTAGAGACGCAAAGAGACCCACAGACAAAGGTAACAGGCAAACAAACCCATTCAGAGAAAAACACTCACACAGACACGGAAACGGACACAGACAGAGAATTACACAACACACTTATGTAAGCAGAGACAGAACAGACAACAGCTAACAAAGGAGCAGGTATAGAAGTAAAAACACATTATTGTGACATACAGACAGTACCGTCCTACCGGTAAGTACCCACTCTTAGAAAAAAGGGTTCCAAAAGGGTTCTTCGGCTGTCCCCATAGGATAACCCTTTTTGGTTCCAGGTAGAACCCTTTTGGGTTCCATGTAGAACCCAGGTAGAACCCTTTTGGGTTCCATGTAGAACCCTAATGGAACCCAAACGGGTTCTACCTGGAACCAAAAAGGGTTGTTCAAAGGCTTCTCCTATGGGGACAGCCGAAGAACCCTTTTAGGTTCTGGATAGCACCTTTTTTTGTAAGTGAGTGCAGACGATAGCTCAAATAGCCTCATATATTTCAGATATGCATAGCAGTAGTCTAACCTGTAACCGTCTAGTCTAACCTCACAATAAACATGGGGAGTAAAATATGTTCTGACACATTCAGCCCCGTTCTGATAGAGAAACCAGATGGTTTGCTTTACATGATATCTAGAAAACCCTTAAAGCTTGTCAACAGCTTGACCAGCCATTAATCACCCATGGCCAGTGTGAGGGGGAGTGGACAGTACACTACACCCAGCCCCCAGTCCACCCAGCCCAGCCACCCCCCAGTCCACCAACTATAATAAGATTGGAAGATATGCTGGTGGTCCATGTTGAGTGGTGCCCCCCTTGAAGAGTCATGGAGGCCAGAGAAGATAGAGAGAGAGATATGAAATATCAATCTCTCTCTCTCTCTCTCTCTCTCTCTCTCTCTCTCTCTCTCTCTCTCTCTCTCTCTCTCTCTCATCTCTCATCTCTCTCTCTCTCTCTCTCTCTCCCTCCCCTCCTCTCTCCCTCCCTCTCCCTCTCCCTCTCCCTCTCCCTCTCCCTCTCCCTCTCCCTCTCCCTCTCTCTCCCTCCCCTGTCTCACATTCTCTTTATCATGTGTACAGTGATCCAAGGGATACGGAAAGATTGGAGTGTCAGTGTGTGTTTCCGAGCAGACATACATACAATACAGACAGACCAGGAATACAGACAGATTTTTGGTGCAATTAGCCCATTACCCCTCGGAATCCCAAGGGAATGTTGCCATGGAGACACAATGTAACACTCAGGGCTCACAGCGGAATATATTCCAGGGTCCATGTCACTCAAGCAGTGAGAGGGAAATGTATATTTTCAGTATTGTTTGAAAAGGATTGATTGAGGAAGGCTTTGTGCTCTCAGCAACATATCAAGGAAGGGGTTGGAAGTGAGGTATCATCGTAGGGGTCACTGTCTTCCGACAGATGGCGTCATTCTAACATGACCATGTTGCCATGAACTATCAGTGCAGACTTGCTATCTGACGTAAGATAATGTAGTAGAAGTCAAATAGAATGATTTGGGCAAGGGCGGGGGATGGTAGATGCTCAAAATGTAAAGGTAGTTCCAAGATAGGAAAGTCACATAAAAAGAGATAAGATGTGCTACAAACGTTACCTGCTATGTGGGTGCATATTGTAGGGCCTGATAGGTTGAGCTCTGAAAACCACTGTTCGCTGACCAGCTCTTCCTGAGTGTTTCGACCAATGGAGGTGGAGGAAGTGGATGGTACGTCATCGGTGAGGCCGCCTCTTGGTTGCACAGCCGTGAGCAGTGTGACTGTGGTTTCCATGGTTACGAGGGACTCAGGCTCAGGGAGTGATGATGCTGCTGAGAAACAGAACACAAGGTCATTGTGATGATGTCATCACCCTGCATCAAGTTAGTCTACAACCAGGTTGTATTAGATCAACTAAAAATTGAATTTATCTAACAATGTAAGTATTTACCTTAGCCTCACCAACTATACAATGAACAGTGATTTAGCAATCTCATTAACAAATGTACTCATCCTGATCCTACAGACCAGGAGAGAGCATGCTGTCCAGGGAGTCTAAAGCACAGTGGTGTCTGACTTCATCTGTGGTCATGGTGTGTGACTAACACGCACACACACACACACACACTCACACACACACACACACACACACACACAGGCAGTATTAGCTCAACTCAGTTGTGTTGTGTGTAAGCCATGGTCCTGTCACAGTTATGTACCATCAAATGGGACACGCCTCCCATTTTCAAACATAGAGTTTACACCCATTTACCCTCGAGCAATATCCTCGCCCACTGTGTGATTTAAATGGCTAGAAAATATGCAGAAGCTTCTGCTTTTATATATGTAGCTCCATGCAGGTATATCTAACCTGATCCCATCTACCCTCCCATCTAGATAGCCCCACCCCATCCCCACTGCCCCATAGTGGGCTCACCCTGGTGGCTATCTGAGGGACTGTAGTGCTGGGGCTCCAGGGGCTCTGTCTCCCCTCTCTGGGTCTCTGTGTCCCTCTCCTGAGGTTCAATCTCAGCATCTAGGAGAGATGCCTGGACTGTCTCAATCTGTCTGTGGACCTCCCTTTCCCTTTCCTCCCACTCCCTCTCCTCCTCCTCTCGGGCGAGGAAGGCGTGGGGGTCCCACTCCACGTCGGGGGAGTCCAGTGGGAGGAGTGTCTCCACGGTGTCCGTGCGACTCAGGAAAGTGCGGCCTCCCCTGGCCCCGCTCCTCCGCCGGCTCCCTGACGATAAGTCACGATGATGTCGTGAGGCTCCGCCCGCCTCTGCCTCGGCGATGGCGATGTAGGAGAAGGTGGGCTCGAAGAAGTTCTGTCTCGGGGTCCCCCAAATGGAGGGGGATGAAGCTCCACCATCATCATCATCCTCCGGACCCCCGGCTTCTTCGTCAGACCACTCCCTGGCCGTCTGCAGGTCGCACAGCTCAGACTCCTCATTCCCACCTGGAGAGAACAGGCACAGGAAAAGCCTTAAAGTAAAACCTATATTTCTTTAAGTATTTTTGCATTTGTATATTTGTTATTCTGTCCTGAGTCAATGTTATATGTTGAAATTGTATATGTTTTCATTACAAAAAAGCTATAAACTTAGATATAAACTTCAACCATTACAGTGAAAACGTTCATCCTAGGAGATAAAGCTATATAAGCACAAAATATTATTCCATAAACATATCACATGTTCTGTGACTTTAATATCTATGGAGGAGCCGTTTGACGTTGCTTTCTCATCTACAAATCCTCTGATGTTTTTGAGCGCTGAGTTGAAAGCCCAGTAAAACGCAACATGCTTTGTCTGAATGAAAGGGCAACATCCAAAGATGCAAAACGCCTTTGTTGGGAGTAATGTTCCAGATCTCATTTTTCCAAAAGGCTACAAAAGCATTCAAACCAACAAATGGACACAATCAACCTCTACCTACTACTATAACCTTTACGCCTGTAGACATGTCATAGTATGATTTTTTCATATTATGATTATCACATATGAAGTTCAATTATTCACACCATGCATTTCTATACATGTACAGTGTGTATGCATTGTGTGATGCTACCTTCAGTGCAGGGAGGTGTTGAATCAGGTGTGGAGGAGACAGAACCATATTCCTCTGGAAGAAAAATAACAACATTAATCAGAGACATGTTTATTTCCATTGGCTAGGGAACTATCACAATCACAGTCGTGAAATGTACAGTATCAAACAGACAATTTGTATCTAAAATAACAACCGATTAACAACTGGAGACTGTTCTATACCGTCTATGTCTGCAACTCCTCTCTTCCTTCTATATCTGTCTGCAACTTTTAGCCAAGGACAATTTGCATATACCGTAAGCCTAGAGGGCAGACACTATCGAGGTAACAGTTTTCCTCTCAATATCACATGCTAAAGCATTGTTTCACATTCAAAAGCATTACATTGTGCACAAAAGCATTATACCACACATAGCCTATTCTCAGACAGATTACCTGCTTTCAATAATGTTAATGTATTTCTATAGTGTCTCAATACATTGAGATGAGATTGAGAGCGTAAATAAAAGGGTTGCATTTGTAATTTTTTGGAGAATCCATGGCTCGAATCCCGTCATTTGAGTAGCCTTTTTCTAAGCCATTACCAAGTCTTTAAAAGCAATTTCATTAGTGTTTGTATACATTATGCTAACAGATAAGTATGTTCCACTTCCTACAGTACAGATCAGCTCTGGCAGAGCAGGCCTTAACTACATTAGCTAGCCTGCTGCCTCAGATCACCCAATGAATCAAGCAGCCGGCAACTGTGAAAGTAGCCCTGACTAAAATGAACACACCAGCATACACACACACACAAAATAAACCAAGACTGCCGATGTGGATGGAGACTACCAGGAGGGTTGTGGCGTCAGAAGGGAGGTGAGGAGACACAACGACAGCAAAACAACACACAGCTTTTTTGATCCTGATCTCTCTCAAACACAAACACACACACACACACACACACACACACACACACACACACACACACACACACACACACACACACACATATACAGTGGGGAAAAAATTTATTTAGTCAGCCACCAATTGTGCAAGTTCTCCCACTTAAAAAGATAAGAGAGGCCTGTAATTTTCATCATAGGTACACGTCAACTATGACAGACCAATTGAGGAAAAAAATCCAGAAAATCACATTGTAGGATTTTTTATGAATTTATTTGCAAATTATGGTGGAAAATAAGTATTTGGTCACCTACAAACAAGCAAGATTTCTGGCTCTCACAGACCTGTAACTTCTTCTTTAAGAGGCTCCTCTGTCCTCCACTCGTTACCTGTATTAATGGCACCTGTTTGAACTTGTTATCAGTATAAAAGACACCTGTCCACAACCTCAAACAGTCACACTCCAAACTCCACTATGGCCAAGACCAAAGAGCTGTCAAAGGACACCAGAAACAAAATTGTAGACCTGCACCAGGCTGGGAAGACTGAATCTGCAATAGGTAAGCAGCTTGGTTTGAAGAAATCAACTGTGGGAGCAATTATTAGGAAATGGAAGACATACAAGACCACTGATAATCTCCCTCGATCTGGGGCTCCACGCAAGATCTCACCCCGTGGGGTCAAAATGATCACAAGAACGGTGAGCAAAAATCCCAGAACCACACGGGGGGACCTAGGGAATGACCTGCAGAGAGCTGGGACCAAAGTAACAAAGCCTACCATCAGTAACACACTACGCCGCCAGGGACTTAAATCCTGCAGTGCCAGTCGTGTCCCCCTGCTTAAGCCAGTACATATCCAGGCCCGTCTGAAGTTTGCTAGAGTGCATTTGGATGATCCAGAAGAGGATTGGGAGAATGTCATATGGTCAGATGAAACCAAAATATAACTTTTTGGTAAAAACTCAACTCGTCGTGTTTGGAGGACAAAGAATGCTGAGATGCATCCAAAGAACACCATACCTACTGTGAAGCATGGGGGTGGAAACATCATGCTTTGGGGCTGTTTTTCTGCAAAGGGACCAGGACGACTGATCCGTGTAAAGGAAAGAATGAATGGGGCCATGTATCGTGAGATTTTGAGTGAAAACCTCCTTCCATCAGCAATGGCATTGAAGATGAAACGTGGCTGGGTCTTTCAGCATGACAATGATCCCAAACACACCGCCCGGGCAACGAAGGAGTGGCTTCGTAAGAAGCATTTCAAGGTCCTGGAGTGGCCTAGCCAGTCTCCAGATCTCAACCCCATAGAAAATCTTTGGAGGGAGTTGAAAGTCTGTGTTGCCCAGCGACAGCCCCAAAACATCACTGCTCTAGAGGAGATCTGCATGGAGGAATGGGCCAAAATACCAGCAACAGTGTGTGAAAACCTTGTGAAGACTTACAGAAAACGTTTGACCTGTGTCATTGCCAACAAAGGGTATATAACAAAGTATTGAGAAACTTTTGTTATTGACCAAATACTTATTTTCCACCATAATTTGCAAATAAATTCATAAAAAATCCTACAATGTGATTTTCTGGATTTTTTTTCCTCATTTTGTCTGTCATATTTGACGTGTACCTATGATGAAAATTACAGGACTCTCTCATCTTTTTAAGTGGGAGAACTTGCACAATTGGTGGCTGACTAAATACTTTTTTGCCCCACTGTAACCAATGCTCAGTCAATGAAAACACTCACACATAGCCTACACATCCTGAGAACACACATAGACATCTGCAATAGGTCTCTACAAAACAAAAGAAAGAGGTGTGTCTGCTACAGCACTCCATCCATCCGTCCGTTCAACCATTTGTTTATCAAGGGAGGGAGAGAAAGAGAGTGAGAGGGGAGATCGATGGCCATGCATTTGGCTAGTACAGATGCTGTACAGATAGATGGATGCTAAAGACAGGCAGACAGACAAAAGCCGACACTCACTGCAGTGGGAGAATCCAAGAACCTGGCCCATACTCCATCAAGGCACCGCTGGGCCCATCCAGTCTGGAAGCCCCCCTCTCTTCCTCTAGATCTCTCTCTCGCTCTCTCTCTCTCTCTCGCTGCTCCCTCGTGCTCTCTCCCTCTTCCACCTCCCTCTCTCTTTCTTGTTCCACCGATGCAGCTGTTTCTCTCTGTCTCTCCCTCTATGCACCCTCCCCTGCCTTCTCTCGCTCACGGGCCCCTCCCTATCTCCCTCTCCTGCTCTCTCTTTTCCCCTCCCTCCCTCTATTGCTCTCACGTCACTATGACAGCAGGGGAGCAGCACAGGCAGGGCAGAGCCAGAGAAAGAGTGTGTGTGTGTGTGTATGTGTGTGTGTGCATATGTGAGCGTGAGTGTGTGTTTCCCTCCTTCCATTCATGACTAATCATTTGTGTATGCATCCAGCCGAGGGGAGTACATCTCTGCTTTTGTAATTTCACATAAGCATCTTACGGGGCTTTGCCTTGTTAAATGCACATAACAACGGGAAACATCGAGCTCATTACAAACACATGTCATTTTGCACCCACCCACACACTGACAGACATACTGTACGTCTTACTGGGTGTTTTGAATAACCCACGTGTGAGACTGCTAGGTACAGCAGAAGGGTGCATTTTGAGATTGCCTGGCGGCAGTAAGCAGCAGTAGCAGCAGCAGCACATACTGTATAGCCCGTTGTAGCCCTGGTGTGCTGCCTGAAGCTACTTCTTCAAATCAAATTAAATCAAATTGTATGTTACATGCGCCGAATACAACAGGTGTAGACCTTACCTTGAAATGATTACTTACAAGCCCTTAACCAACAATGCAGTTTTAAGAAAATAGAGTTAAGAAAATATTTACAAAATAAACAAAAAATAATAAAATAACAATAATGAGACTATATACAGGGGGTACCGGTACCGAGTCAACGTGCGGGGGTACAGGTTAGTCGAGGTAATTTGTACATGTAGGTAGGGGTAAAGTGACTATGCATGGTTAATGAACAGCGAGTAGCAGCAGTGTAAAAATAAAGCAATGCAAATAGTCTAAGTGGCCATTTGATTAATTGTTCAGCAGTCTCATGGCTTAGGGGTAGAAGCTGTTAAGGAGCCTCTTGGACCTAGATCTATGACTTTGACAATTTTTTGGGCCTTCCACTGATTGAGTGGTCACATGATGTGTCAGCTAAATCATCCTGCTCATGTACATCACTGACTGCACTGACTCACAGTTCAGACTTGGACAATATATAAGGGGGGAATTATATGAAATATTGACATTTTCTCCATTCAGAAAACACACATTTAATGAGGCTATTAAGTGCACTTCCTGGCAGGTACAATACACTGAGTGGACAAAACATTAGGAACACCTTCCTAATATTGAGTTGCACCCCCTTTTGCCCTCAGAACAGCCTCAATTCGTCGGGGGCATGGACTACAAGGTGTCAAAAGCGTTCCACAGGGATGCTGGCCCATGTTGACTCCAAAGATTCCCACAATTGTGTCAAGTTGGCTGGATGTCCTTTGGCTGGTGGACCATTCTTGATTCACAACAGAAACTGTTGAGCGTGAAAAACCCAGCAGCGTTGCAGTTCTTGACACAATCAAAACGATGCACCTGGCACCTACTACCATATCCCATTCAAAGGCACTTCAATATTTTGTCTTGCCCATTCACCCTCTGAATGGCACAAATACACAATCCGTCTCAATTGTTCCAAGGCTTAACAATCCTTCTTTAACCTGTCTCATCCCCTTCATCTACACTGATTGAAGTGGATTTAACAGGTGACATCAATAAGGTATCATAGCTTTCACCTGGATTCACCTGGTCAGTCTGTTCCTAATGTTTTGTACACTGTACATTATAATTTCAAAGAGGTTTTCGGAAATACATTCAGCAATGTAAAATGACATCTGGCCAACTACTGCAATTATGGCGTGCTCATATAATGGGATATTAAAAACAGAATGCATTGGATTCCTCATGTTTAATGGATAAACTTACTCACACATTTTTGCCCAAAACAATTCTCACAATTCGTTCAGTTCAATTGCTAAATATTCAACTGATTGCCAAGAAGAACTGCTCATAAAGGGAAGTTGCAATGGACACATTGGGATTACAATAAGAGGCTACTGTAGCTTTCGTCACTCACCTTACCTGTGTATCCTGTTAAAAGCTGGGGGAATCTGTCAGTAGCTGAGTGTAGATGCGGTGAGGAATCAAGCGCAGGAGACACGGGCGTTCGTCAACAGACTTTAGTCACAAAATAGAACAGCAGCAAAACAGGCGAACAGCCAACCCAACCGGGAGGCAAAATACACAGTACGCACAAAACCCACAGTGCGTAAAAAGGCGAATAGCGCACACAGTGCGGACTCTCGGAACAAACAACAATCCTGAGAGTAAAATAACACAGAGCAACAGCTTGACAAATAAACAATACCACATAACACCTGCCCCCACACACGAAAACTAAATAGGCAACCAAATCAAACACTAACAAGGGACAGGTGTACAAACAGACAAAACCAAACAAACATGAAACATCGAACGGTGGCAGCTAGTACTCCGGGGACGACGACCGCCGATGCCTGCCCGAACAAGGAGGAGGAGCAGCCTCGGCCGAAACCGTGACAGTACCCCCCCCTTGACGCGCGGCCCCAGCCGTGCGCCGATCCCGGCCTCGGGGACGACCAGGACGACGCGGAGCAGGGCGCGTAGGATGACCCCGATGGAACTCGGTCAGCAGGGACAGGTCTAATATGTCCCTCCTCGGCACCCAGCACCGCTCCTCCGGGCCGTAACCCTCCCACTCCACGAGATATTGGAGACCCCCCATCCGGCGTCTCGAATCAAGGATGGACCTCACAGTGTACGCCGGAGCCCCCTCGATGTCCAACGGGGGCGGAGGAGTCTCTTCTATCTCATAGTCCTGGAGTGGACCAGCTACCACCGGCCTGAGGAGAGACACATGGAACGAGGGGTTAATATTCCTGTAATCAATAGGCAATTCTAACCTGTAACACACCTCGTTCAACCTCCTCAGGACTTTGAATGGCCCCACAAACCGCCGACCCAGCTTCCGGCAGGGCAGGCGGAGGGGCAGGTTTCTGGTCGAGAGCCAGACTCGATCTCCAGGTGCGTATACAGGCCCCTCACTGCGGTGGAGATCGGCGCTCGTCTTATGCCGACGGATGGCCCGCTGCAGATGAACGTGGGCAGCGTTCCATGTCTCCTCCGAGCGCCGCACCCACTCATCCACCGCAGGGGCCTCGATCTGGCTCTCGTGCCAAGGTGCCAGAACCGGCTGGTACCCTAACACACACTGGAAAGGGGTTAGTTGGGTGGAGGAGTGGCGGAGAGAGTTCTGCGCCATCTCGGCCCACGGAACGTATCTCGCCCACTCCTCCGGCCGGCCCTGGCAATAAGACCTCAGAAACCTACCCACATCCTGGTTGACACGTTCAACCTGCCCATTACTCTCCGGGTGGTAACCCGAGGTAAGGCTCACCGAAACCCCCAACCATTCCATAAAGGCTCTCCACACTCTGGAGGTGAACTGGGGGCCTCGATCAGACCCTATATCCTCGGGTACCCCGTAATGCCGGAAGACATGGGTAAACAGAGCCTCAGCGGTCTGTAGGGCAGTAGGGAGACCCGGCATGGGAAGGAGACGACAGGCCTTCGAGAACCGATCCACAACGACCAGGATGGTAGTATTCCCCTGTGAGGGGGGAAGGTCAGTAACAAAGTCCACCGAAAGGTGGGATCAGGGTCGTTGCGGAACGGGCAGGGGTTGTAGTTTACCCCTGGGCAAATGTCTGGGCGCCTTACACTGGGCACACACCGAACAGGAGGAGACATAAACCCTCACATCCCTGGCTAACGTTGGCCACCAGTACTTAGTGCTAAGGCAGTGAACTGTCCGGCCGATACCTGGATGTCCAGAGGAGGGGGACGTATGAGCCCAATAAATGAGGCGATCGCGTACCTCGAGCGGAACGTACGTCCGACCCACTGGACACTGTGGAGGACTTGGGTCGGTGCGTAACGCCCACTCGATCTCTGCATCGACCTCCCATACCACCGGTGCCACCAGACAAGACTTTGGTAGTATGGGAGTGGGCTCAACGGACCTCTCCTCCGTGTCATACCGCCGAGACAGGGCATCTGCCTTCCCGTTCTGGGACCCAGGGATGTAAGTGATTTTAAACACAAACCGGGCTAGAAACATAGTCCAGCGGGCCTGGCGAGGATTCAGTCTCCTAGCTGCCCGGATGTATTCCAGGTTACGGTGGTCCGTCAAAATGAGGAAAGGGTGTTGAGCCCCCTCAAGCCAATGCCTCCACACCTTTAGGGCCTGTACCACGGCTAACAGCTCCCTGTCCCCTACGTCATAATTCCGCTCCGCCGGACTGAGCTTCTTAGAATAAAAAGCACAGGGGCGGAGCTTAGGTGGTGTGCCAGACCGTTGTGAGAGGACGGCCCCAATACCGGCCTCGGACGCGTCTACCTCTACCTGGAATGGTAAAGCGGGATCCGGATGCGCCAACACCGGCGCCGAGGTAAACAGGTCCTTCAGTCTCCCAAAAGCCCTGTCCGCCTCAGCTGACCACCGCAAGCGCACCGGACCCCCCTTTAACAGAGACGTTATGGGAGCTGCCACCTGACCAAAACCCCGGATAAACCTCCGGTAATAATTCGCAAAACCCAAGAACTGTTGCACCTCTTTCACAGTGGTTGGGGTTTGCCAATTACGCACAGCTGACACCCGGTCAACCTCCATCTTCACCCCTGACGCAGACAACTGATAACCCAAAAAGGAGACCGACTTCTGAAAGAACAGACATTTCTCTGCCTTGACATATAGGTCATGCTCCAACAGCCTCCTCAACACTCGGCGCACCAGGGCTACATGCTCTGCTCGGGTAGAACTGTACACCAGAATATCGTCGATGTACACGACTACTCCCTGCCCCTGCATGTCCCGGAAAATCTCATCAACGAAGGATTGGAAGACTGAGGGAGCATTCATTAACCCATATGGCATGACGAG